GTTAGCACAAATGGAGAAATTATGTTTCACATAAACAAGGACAAACTCACTTAACTAAAATGTCAGAACACAAACATGAACGAAACCTCCATCTTTGTTTCCCCCTTGTCTCCTTCTCTCCTTGTCTTCACACAAGCTACTGTCCAATTACTTCCTGTCTATACACATAACAAGTATGTAGCGCTACTACGGCAGTAAAGTAACTTGTATCCACAGCCCACACCCACACAGCTTCACTAAACAAAATAAAAAAGAACTGCTGTCACTACGGATGGATAACGTTCCTTCTTTGATCCACACCCCCACATGTGGAAATCCTATTGAGTTGTCCTGCTAATGGCTGAATGTGATGTGAGTTTCTTTGCTAGGATTTGCTTAACTTTTCATTTCATCTTTTTGATCTGGATTAAAATGTAAGTTTGAGTTAGCTACTCTTGTCAACAGGCCAAGTACATTTAGCTTAAAGGAATCAGATATACTATTCAAACAAATAAGCATGCCAATATAACACTTGCCAGGAAAGCAGCTATTGTGATCAATGGCTACAATGAATGTTCAATAAAAGCCTCGTCAGGCCTCCAGCTTGTTCACACTCACTTTTGTCTTGCTGCCTTTGTTTGTGAGAGATTTGTTGCTGTTTTTGAATGCCAAAAATGTCGCACATTTGCCTCGGGGAGAGAGGTTTTCAATTTGTCTTTCATAAGCACTGCCATTTATACTATTGCATTATCCAAGAATCACAACGATAAAAAGCCATGCAGGCCGAGTGAAGGAATGACTCGGATAACAGCAAACTTTCTCCCAGCTTGACCATTCAATGGAGCTCATTCAGTCGCCATGGGAGGCAGCCACAAATGTTTCCAGCTTTTGTTACCCTCTGATTTATAGTCGCTCACTGTGGCCTTGAAGTGTCGGTCTAGGTTTCCCGCTAACCAAATGTTTGGGCTCTGTTGGTGTATTGTGTTACTCAGAGTAAGCTATTGATTTTGTTTTTATTGGCCTTGTAATTGTCCTCCTAATTAGGGATAACAAAGAGGTGAAAGGTGGACGGTTGGGAATTGACTGAATGTGTACCAGGGGAGAAATAAGGGGTTGATCAGGATTTGAATTTGCCCACCACATTTATTACATTAAAAAGTAGAAAATAAAAATGTTTTACACCGGGGACATAACCAGTTATCCCTCTCAATAAACAAACCTGACGGAGGTCTGACTTTGCATCTGAAGCAACAGTTCTGCTTATGTGCCACATATTTCAAATCCTGCAAATCCTCAGTGGAGTTGTGGAGGCTTTGGGCCGGATGCTGCCTGGTTGGTAGAGCTCATTGGCATTCAAACACTGCTGGAGTGCAGCAGAGTACAGCAGCATGGTGCAGTGAGGGTGTGTGTGAAACAGAGAGATGAAGAATGAATGGAGAGGAGAGGTTTTTAATTGATGGGCTGCAGTGAAATATACAGTAAACTTCCAGCATTTGCTTTAATGATTCAACAGTTGTCTGTAAGGGGTGAAGCTGTTATCAACCAATGCAAGTCTAGAGTATCAAAATATCAACTAAAGTTGCTGAAAGTTGAAATGTAATGTCTGGCCCTCTGTAGTCTTGGTTACTATGATATCCAAAGGTTTCACTTGATACCCAGCAGTAATAACCTGTTTTTTTAACTTGAAATGCAATCTTCTTTTTTAGGGTTCTTTAACAAATGTAGAATGAGTGTTCTCTTTTCTCTGTCTGTGGAAAATGACACAAGTTCCTCTGATACACACACACACACACACACACACACACACACACACACACACACACACACACACACACACACACACACACACACACACACACACACACACAATGGCCTCTCTGCTGCTATGGCACTGTATCAATATTATGTTCTCCCACCCTGCTCTGTTCCTGTTTGCACAGCCCAGAAAACGTACCCACCTAGTACATGGAGGAAATTCAAAGTGGTCGTTACTCTCCGCTCTCTCTCCCTGCCTATCTTTTAACTCACTGACTTTTTCTCTCTGTTTGTGTTTTCACAGACACGATGCGTTAAACTTGTATAACTTACTTCACCCCCAGTTCATCTGCTGCCTGTAGAAGAAGCGCAGGAAGATCTGTAATCAGGTTTTCTTTTGCTGCCTCCCCTCTGCTCTCTCTCTCTCTCTCTCTCTGAGCCTCAGGGGCTGCTGTTTGTTTACCTTCACACATGCACAGGCTTAAGTTCCTCCCTCATGCTTTCCCTGTCCTTTAACACTGGATCAGTGCCAGCCTCAGTGTTCATGAGTGTCACCATTTGCTTGTACAAGTCATCTGGGAAAACAACCATGCCCTTCTCTGCATTCAGACACAGAGTCTTCAAGAATAGACAGATGCTTGAATCATTTCTACGTCACAGAAATGTCTCTTGTATAACATAAATGCCACATGACGTTCTAAGACAGTCTGTTTATGACATAGCTCTGAATCATGTGGCACTGGGCCCTTATTTTAGACTGCGTCAATCCAGCCCGTGTCTGTGTTTTCTCCGGAGTGTCCTGCTCTGTTTGGGGGACTGTGGGCTCACGATGATAAAGTGGAGAGTGACGGGCCAAATGAGCTGCTTTATGATCCTGTTCAGGGTCGGGATCTTTGTTGGATTTTTTTAATTTGGTACAGCAGTTAAAAGTACAAGACATACCTCTGGAAAAAGCAGTTTTACTTTCTCTATCGTAGATCTACAGTTTTTCTTCAAACATTTGGTGACAGAGATGGTTCTAAAAAGGGGCAGTTATAGAAGAGAAACAATAAAGGAAGAACGAGGGAGCATCAGCTTCATTTGGTGTACTCTATTTTCTTTTTAATCACTTTTTCATTGTGTCGTTTTTCATCATTTTTAAATCACAAGTCGATCAAAATAAACACAATTATTGTTCACATCCTTCAAGCCAAAATGAATCGCATTCGAGGGCTAAGGTTCTCAAATATAACAAGTCTATGCTTTTGTTGGTCTTCTTTCACTGTTATCTGATGTTTATTGAGCTAACAATCAATCGGTTGAAAATAATAATGAAGAAATTGAGAGAATAATTACAAAAAGCCTCTTTTGGCTGTTGCATGTATTGTTGGGTTGACTTTGGTACTAAAAGACTAACAATCGTCCTACTTAACTGTATGTAGCTTCATTAGAAAGCAAACGAAGAGCCCAGATTACAAAATCCTTGTGTGTGTGTGTGTGTGTGTGTGTGTGTGTGTGTGTGTGTGTGTGTGTGTGTGTGTGTGTGTGTGTGTGTGTGTGTGTGTGTGTGTGTGTGTGTGTGTGTGTGTGTGTGTGTGTGTGTGTGTGTGTGTGTGTGTTGGGCTGCACGATATATCGCGCTGTGACGATAATCGCGATATGCGCAATATTCACATCACAGGACAACTTAAAAAAAAAACTTTATTTTTTATTTTTTTAGGACTTGCGATGTTAAGTAGGCAAATTAACTCAAACACGTCATGTTACAATTCTTTTGCTGCTTGCTACAAAAGGAAAACTTGCGCGTCTTTTCTTCAATTCCTGTATGTTTTCATATCGCAATATATATCGCAGGGCGGGGGGGAAATCGCAATTTTCATTTTTCTCCAATATCGTGCAGCCCTAGTGTGTGTGTTACCTGTCACTTGCTGAGCCACAAAAAACCCTTTCCACTTTCCTCTCAGGGATATTGTGTTATACACTGTCAAACATATCTGAACACATTTCAAAGCATTTCATTCACTTCTGTGGTCCTGTGTCAAGATGCGGCGTGTTGAAAGAGCCATCTGAGCGTAACAGAACCAGCACGTGTTCAAAGGCTTTTCTGCTAAAGACTCCCCACTTTGACCACCTGCAGCTGTGGACCAATTAAAATCCCAACCCAGCACTCCCTGACCCAAATGGTTTGACACACATACACACACTGACACCCACAATGATAACAGCTGGAGAGAGTGAAAGCAATCAATGAATAATTGATGATAATTTACTGTTCCCATTCATAATTCATACCCTCAATTATCACTAAGAGGCCCCACCTGAGTTTAATGTGTGTGTGTTGTTGTATTCAGTGGTGGACTATCCTTTGTATGTCACAGAAGAAGTGCGCGTGTGTCCCATCTGCTGTGTTTGTTGCTTCTCATTTTGGAAATGTTATAAAATGTTGTGTAAGAAGATTTGGAGATAGGATGCGTGTGTTCTGTTGACATGCTTACCCTCAGTGTGCAACATACGGGGGGGTCTGGGGGAGCTCGACCCTCCCTGATTAACACCTGAGCCCCCCTGAAATCCTCAACAGCAAAATGAGAGGGGGTTCTCAAATTATGATATGTATTTGTCACTTGCAATGGTCACTAAAATGTTTTTAAGCTTACTATGTCCAGTATTCATAATTCAAAACATTTATTCACATATCTTCTATTTTGGCTGGCAAAAGCATTTCCTCGCATGGAAGCGAAAACAGACGGCTCTTTAACGGTCGCGTATTCATTCATTCATATGAACGTCAGAATATAGAATTATTTGACGGCACCCCTGAAGAGGCCAGGCGGCGCCCCGGTTGAGAAACGCTGCTATAGACTACTGATTGTCTTGGCTTGCATCCATTAAATATTGTATAGGCCTACTGCATATTGAGAAATCTTCGACCGGTAAATTGCGCAATAAACAGGAGATGGGGACACCCCCCGATTATTGACGGGTATTTCGCACACTACTTACCCTCCTTCTGACACGAATCGTAGGTTATCCACGTGCCGTTTCCAAAACCTTATCTCTACTTGTAGCGGTGGATGCTGGAAACTCCTCTCTCCTGATAAGCAGATGGTGTGTGATCTCCAGGCTAAACATGTTCTATTATCAAAGATAGTGTTCAGTTTTTATCGCAGCATATTTTAAGAATGATTCTACAGAGGCATTGTGCAGCCATTCAAATAATGTATTTATTTAACTTCCTCCAGGTTTTGAGGTTTGTGTCAACATTTTTCCTTTTTTCTTTCTCCACATAGATCACAACTCTGATCAACCATAAAGACAAGCCAAATAAGTCTGAGCGCACCCTAGCAGCCATACACAGGGTGGGCCAGGCAGTGAGCGTGGCTGTGGGACGTTTTGTCGCCGTTGGAGAGGCCATCGCCTCAGAGAACCAAGAGCTGAAGGATGAGATGGGGCAAGCCTGCTTCGAGGCTCGCAGGGCAGGTGGGTTTCTTTGGCTGAATCACTTTGTGTCACTGCAACTCAATACATCCTCTAGTGCAGTGGTTCCCAACCTTTTTTCCCAAGAGCCCCCCCAAATGACTCCTGTTGGAAGTTGCGCCCCACACACACACACACACAAGGGGGGGGGCGCAACAGCGGTAATTAAAGTTTAAAAGTCTCTACAACTCCTGTCACAAACTGGATGAATGTGAAGTATTTTGTTAAAGGAGGATGAAGGGGGTAATTAAGGAGCACTATTGGAGTGGCTTTGATGGTTATTGGACTCAGGATGAAGTCAATTGGATTCCCGCTGTATGAAGAAATTAAAGGACGGCGCAAGTGGAAACAATTCACAAAGGGATTAAACTGTTTAAAACACATGCTCAAAGTAAGCCGATGTGTTTATGTGGATTCAAAAGCCGTAAATAATCTACAAAATGGAGGAGACCGATCTGATTGGAGCAACTCTGACAAATAATTCAACTGAAACCGGCATGGACAATGACTATGTTTTAAAAATGCGCTTATCCAGAAAAGCCCGGTTTGGACGCTTTACGGGCAGAAGAAACATTTCTATTAAAGAAAGAATTATACATTACTTCTTTATGCCTTTAATAGTACTAACTTGAATTGTTATTCAAATTAATTAATCAATTATTTTTCATATTTTATTGTAATGTAGAGACAAGGCTTTTAATGACAATCATTTATTGCTTTAAAAAAAAAAAAAAGTCTAAATATGATATTTGGCCTTAAATCATCTGAGGCCTAGCGCCCCCCAGGTTGGGAACCACTGCTCTAGTGTTCCTCTTCAGGGGTAGATAGAAACAGCACTTGTTTTGTGGTCACATCTGTGTTTTTAAACCGAAATTCTAAAGTCTTGTTCATAAACACTGTATATTTCTGTCTCATACATTGCCATGGCTTTAGGGTGTTCAGAAATGTCCATTAAGGTTGTTCTAGCTGGTCAGCGAATAAGACTTATCGGTGTTTATTTGTTAAGATAAACTGACAGTTTCATAAAGCATCAGGCCTCAGCTTGGGGCTTCAAAGTGTTATCAAATTTAAGCAGATTTCGATTTGTCTGGACAGCGTGGCTGACAGACACTATTACACCAGAGGACCTCCAGAGTGTTCTGAAGACATTGTTGTTATTAGGTTGGAAGTAAAGGCTGCAAAAAGGGCTTCTTCACCCAAGGGCGCTGTGTAGAAAGAGGGAGCAAATGTGTCTGCACTGGCTTGAAAAAGCACTGCATAATAAGTTCTTAAAAAACACTTTTAGAAACGTTATGCGGCAGGCTGTTGGCAAGATTGAAAGTTTTAGTTTTCCCGATGTTCACTGCCTTATAGATTTCTTCAGAGTTACGTAGAGAACATTTCTCCACCTGAGGTCAGACCCCTCATTTCTTTCCCAGGGTTTAAATCTGCTGTCTGGGCCTGTCTGTGTGTGGCTTATATTTCTCCCCACATCTAATTTTCTGCAGTTTCCTTCCAATTCTAAAACATGCAGGTTAGGTAATAGACTGCCAAACTATCCAGGTTGAGGTCTGCCTCTCGCCCAATGTGTGCTGTCAGACATGTCATGGATGGATATTTCGAGTGCAAAACAGTAAACAACTGAGAGAGACAAAGAGGTTCAGAGGGTTGTGGGAGGGGTGGAAACAGTGACAACCAGTGTGAAGGAACAAGAATGTGTGGATCGTTCTTATGGGACTGTCAGCTTTTATTGAACCCGAGACAGAAGAGGTGATGGTTTTGTCAGAAATGTGTTTCTTTCAGTGTTTTTACACTTTCCTACAAGCTTTAGCTATTAACATTTAATCAAAAAAACACCCAAGGCACACGTCAACCCTGTATCTTGGTGTCTTTCTAAGTTTTCTTACACTTTCTTGTTTAGATAGTTGGCATCACTTGCTTGTGAAACTTAGTTCTTATCAGGCAAAACAAGGACCTCATTTAGCCTTCTGCAGAGCACAGCGGAAACAAAATCCCACTGCATAAGAATTTAGTCACAACATCGTGATAATAGGTTTATGTTGGGGGAACCAAATGTATAGCAGAGCATTTAATCCTCACACAGCGTTGATTTGTAAAGACGCTTAAACTCTGACAAAGAAGTGCTGGTGGGAGGGGGAGAGAAGACTGATGAGAAAATGTGCGTGTGAATGTGTGTATAGGTGAGGCCTAGTGAAGCCTATGTGTGTGTGTGCATTTGCAATTGTCTGGATGTGTGTACCCGCTGCGACTAATTTATTCTAGTTCTCACTTTCCTCTTAGGAAGGCGTTTTCACAGTTTTGCCTTGCATTCCTTACACAGTTTACTGATTAAGAAGAAAGCCAACACTTGCTGTCTCTCTGACCATTTAATAAAATGATAGAGACATTTTCAGAGATCACAAATAAACACTTTTTTGAAGCTGTTAGTATCCAGGAGAGAGAAGGGCTAGTTAGTGATGGATTGACATTCTCTAATACCTAGCCGCAGGGAGAGTTTAATCAGGCAGGCTTCAGTCTTGTGCGCTATAATGAATGAAATAAAGGCAGGCTGAAAGCACTCTTTAATTAGATGCCGCCCGTCATCAGAGCAGTGAACAGATCCAATGAGGCAGGTCAGTGGAGGCAATCTGTGTTGGATCTCTGTCTCTGTCTCTTTCACTCAGTCTCTCAGTGTCATTCTCACATTCACAAACCGCTGTCTCACTTCATCTTTCTACTCATATCATAAGATTCAAGATATGACTGTAGGAAGATTCAAAATAAAACCATAGCTCATCAGTATTTTTAATACTGGACTACATGTTTAGGCAATCAATTGGTAAAACATGGGAATAAGATTACCTCTTAACACTTTTCAAACACACAAGTATTTACCTTTTTGAGCTTTCACTCATGAATGATGTATAAACTATACAGAAAAACATTTTTGTAATACTTTGAGCTAAACTCTTTTGCTTATGTGTAGCAGAGATACTGGGTGTTTCTCAATGTCGAGGAAGGCTGCTCCAGAGCCACTATTTCAAGCATACTACGTCATCGAGTGCCGCCGAAGGACTGTTCCAATGTCCAGCATACTTGGAATTCTACCGAGCTCGGCGTACTTCGTAGCAAGAAATTTCGAAGCTGCACATGTGTAGACTCCGCGGTCTTAAAATCCCCACAATGCTTTGCGCACGGACCAATTTCCCCAAATCTGTGGCGGAAAATGTAAGGCGGGGCCTCTCATATGACACTTGCTTGCCTGTTCCACTCTTCGTTTTCCAAATGCCAGGAAGGATTCTTGCCTCGCTTCTGAAGCAAGTGACTCGGAAGATATGTGCTACCAAGCAGGCGTACTCGACACTGTTCACCATGTTCACCATCTTAGTTTAGCATTGTCAGCATGCTAGTGTTGGCTAATTAGCAATAAACCCAGAGTAGGATTAGTTTTGAAGGTATTTCATTATAAACCAAAGTATTTCCAAAACCAAAACCAAACCAAACCAAACCAAAGTTCAGCTGGTTATAGCTCTAGATTAAAAGTGAATGAATCAACAAAGTAATCCTGTGGGGGCATAAAGATCTTTCTCAAGTTTTAATGCAATCGACTAACATGCGGACAGACATTGCCCTCAATTGAGAAATGCAAGATTTACTGTCTACAAGCGCTGCACCAACACATCCAGGATCAGCCTTTTCAAGTTTTCATTGATGAATAAAATCTAACATGTCAAACAGAAAGAAAGAGAATTCATTACACCTGAAGCATGATTTTCAATGTAGGAACAAGATGTTTTTTACAGGGAACAGATGCTTCTAGAGAGTTACAAAGGTCTCTAGAATAATGAAACTAAGGTACCAGCTCTCTGTTTTACATATAAGCTCATGCAAATCCATCCCCCAGTCCAAACCATTCATATTCTTGGATTTGAAGGGTAAAGTCGGCTCCATCTTCCCCCGTGCTAGTGTCATGGGGGTTGAGCATCCTTTGCCAGCCAGGCCTAGATGTTTTAACTGGTTAGCGGAGCTGGCACCAAAAAAGCTGCCTGTCGGATGCAATCAGTTTGTCAGTGCTGCTTTCTTTAAAAAAACAGCCAAACCGAAAAGACTGCCAAGCTGTATGACCCGATAGAGACCTAGCTATATACCCTTCCCCCTCTTTTCTGAGAGTTTCTCTCCTCCCTCTTACCCTGAACTCTGGACATTTTCTTCTTGTCTGGAAAGTCTGATGCTCAACGTATATTTCGCATTTGCATGTTTTGTCCATGTATAAATTGTGAGGGTCTTAGTTGTGTCATGTCACACAGAAAGCATGCCATTAGTGTTCGGTCAGGCTTGCATAGCTGTCACAACATTGTGCTGAATATAGTACCATTGTGTTTCATCTTGCCTAGGACGATATGTTCTCCCTGAGGTGAAGAGTGGCAGATTGGAAGGACATCACGCTGCTGTGTTGTCTGACTGAGGGCCTTTAGGAAATTATCATTTGTCCACCCATCCTTTCGTGTTCTGCCTCTTGTCAGGGTCCAGATCTCAGTGGCAGCCGGCAAAGCAAAGTCGCCTAAAGGTCTTTCTGGCTAGCCGCCACATCCTCCAGCTCTTCAGAGGGAACCTTTGGGCGCTCTCAGGCCAGATGGGAACTGTAAACCCTCCGGCGTGTTCTGAGTCACCCTCTTCAACTGGACTCTTCCTGAATCATCTGACAGACAGAAGCTCTCAGTCCAACCAAAAGTCTCATGAACTGTCAAACTCAATGTAATCAAAACAAGCACAAGCCTAAAAACAATCTTCAATGTATGTCCACTTAGGGTTACAAATATATTCGAGCTGTCATGTTTGAAGTTCTGTTTGCTCCTAGTTATTTCAATGCAGAGGGGAAGCCTTATGCAGAAAAAGCGCACTAGTTTGGGATCGGTACAATGCAGATATCCATTGAATCGATTGTTGCATCCCCATACTGAAATACAATATATCAACCCGGCCAGTATATCAGTCTATCTCTGTTGCTGAACCAAATACTTCCCTTCTCTCCTCATTTAGGTGATGCCATAGCCCAGCTGACAGACGCGGGATCACCCTTGCCATCCCAGTCAGAAGGATGTGGCACAGTGTTCAATGAGAGGACCGGGATGGTGAAGGCTGCACGCTTACTCCTTTCTTCAGTCACTAAAGTCCTGGTCCTGGCTGACCGCATCGTCATCAAACAGATAATCACATCACGCAACAAGGTGAGACATGCAAACTACCTCCTTAAAATGATATAGATAAGCTCTATTGCTTAGTCTCTTGCACACATACACACAAAAAGGTTAGCCATGCCTAAATAAAACACTCAGGCAGTTACGCAAATACCATCCTGGATCCTTTTATTTCCTAATAGATAAGCACTGGCTCTCTTACTCTGGAGGTAATTGGAGGGAACAGCACATTTAGTGATCACATAAAAACGCAGAGCAAGAGACTTTCTCCCTCCATCGTACCTGGCTATGCTCTTATCCAGACAGTGTGATACGGATGTAGCTGTAGACTGAGCCAAGAATGGAAACAGGGGGCCTTATCAGGACTGGTTAGCCTCGTTTGGACAGACAGTCGACAGCCCCCTGTCCTCCATTACCGGCAAACACAATTACATCTCTTCCTCCTCTTTGTCTGGTGGGGATAAAAGATACTGCGTTAGCGCTGCCAGCTAGCCCTCTGCAGCTAAATTAGCATCTACATAGACTGCTATTAACTAAAATGCAGGTTTGGAACGACTTCATCAGCTGATTTATTTTGGGAGAACACTTAAATAGTCACACAGGAGTAACCCAAATGCAATGCAAACAAATCTAAAATATTGATACATGACCGTCCAATTACTTTTACTCTTGGTTCTGTTGTGAGGAAAGGCTTCAGGGTTGTTTTTGTCCCTCCTGCTGATATCTTGCAATAACAGAAATAGGTTGTTTCAGTGTGCGAAGACTTCAAGAACACAACCATAAGGGGGCTTTCACCTTACTACTCTGATCTTCCATTCTTCTTAGGTCCTTGTTACCCTCGACCATCTGGAAAGAGTCAGCACCTTCCAGGAATTTGTACAGATTTTCAGCCAGTTTGGCAACGAGATGGTGGAGTTTGCCCACCTCACTGGAGACAGACAGAACGTGAGTAGCAAGTGAAGAAACCAACTCTTGTTGGTTTAAAGTGTCTAAATTGTCAGCACATTATAACGTTTTATTCAATAAATGAAATGTATTTGTGGTCTTACATATGGATATAGTCTAGTTTATAAACATTGGGTGATGTGACTTTAATTCAATAAATTCCAAGTACATTATGCTCACTCATGTAGATGCACTACAGTGGTTTTGACTTGACTGTGAAACCTGCTGCACTTACACCATAAATGAGCAGTCAACTCAATAAATCAATCATTCAGGCATGAAATATTTGCTCTTACCACAAAATAACGAACTCACGAAGCTTCTTCTCAAAACATTTGTTCTTTCTTTGGGTATCTATTGTTTTTTTCCTTATCCGTGTCTCAATTCATAAAAGGGAAATGTGCAGGTCAGTTATGACTCATACTGCTCAAACACTGTTTGCATCATAATTCATTATTGATGTAAACTGACCTATGCTTTCAGAGATGCATTCTGTCTGCAAATATCAGCTTTGGGAATAGCGCATATGCAAAACAAAACTTTTGCTTAAAAATGTGAGGAAAACAGGCCAACTAAGGGTTTTTATCTTTGTTCTGTCAAAGACTGCTAATCCTTCTTTGATGCATACATTGAGCCTCTGCAGCTAAAGCGCTTTCCCTGCAGAAGCTGATGTAAAATGCACCGTCTGCGATATCTAGACAGGGAGAGGATCGACCAGCCGTCTTTTTGAATTTGTTCACAGCACGTGTTTTGAAACACACATCATGTCCCTCCACAACGCAACACAGCTAATGCTCCCTTTACTCATTTGCCACCTGGTTTTCTTTGTCATTTTTTCTCATATTCACTCCCACTCATGCACTTTAATACATGCACAAGCACACAGCCCTTTAGAAAATCCACCATCTTCGTCTATTGAAGCCAGACGAGCACAGAGGCAAAAATAATGACAGATAATCACATCATCTTTGCAATCTATGGCATAGTAATGGGAGAGGAGTTGATTCAGCTGCCTTTTCCAAATCCCCAAATACCTAATTCGAGCTGTCTATTTCTGATTGGGATACATGAAGGGGGGTGCTGCAGGTCACACACACATCTTCTTTCATATTCTGGAAGCGTCTCTTTTTATTAGAAGGTAATTAACTTGGGAAGCTTCATCTGTGTGTAAGGTTGGAGAGGAATATATGTCACATGTGTGTGTCCCTTTATACCAGCATGAAAGAGATGTGTCACATGCTTTTGATGCTTCATGTCCATCGGACACCCAGAGAGGTCTTAGAAGTTGCAGCTAAAGGAAAAGCCACCCATTACCATCTGGTGTGTGTGTGTGTTTGTGTGTGTGTTTGTGCTGTAGGACTTAAAGGATGAGAAGAAGAAAGCACGGATGGCGGCGGCCAGAGCAGTGCTGGAGAAATGCACCATGATGCTCCTCACAGCCTCCAAGGTAAACTCCAACACTGAACCTTTGGGCAAGGGTTATGGATTATGTCCACCTTAAAAGATGAATGGCCTTCTCAAGTTTATTTCATTTCAAGGCTTCTCAAATGCCGCGATCTATGGTAATACTCTAAGTCAAGTAATCATTCAAAATACAACGAGAGTGAATAATGGTGGTTGTAAGGCATGAAAAGGGTAGGAGTTCAAAAGAGTAAGAGAGGGAACAAACTTTTGATATTTCACATCGAATTCCTTTCCAAGACTTGCCTGAGGCACCCAGATTGCGAGTCGGCGCGGATCAACAAGGACGCCGTGTTCCAGAGGATGCGCTGTGCCCTGGAGCAAGTCATCGAGATAGTCACAGAGGCTCGGAGCTGCGGGGAGAACAAGATCCTCCCTGCCAGTATCTACAACGGCATCAAGGACTTCAAGGTAGGATGAGGAACTGGATTCAGTATTAGAGGTATTTGTGAAGTTCAGAAATGATTCTCTTGTGGCTTAATGCTACTGGAGCGTCCGAGGTGTTAGGGCTTGTGGAGCGTCACAAACACCGTCTCCATTTATTACTTTCAATTCTCTCTTACAACAACTTCAGAACAGCCTGCGCATGCTCAAACACATGAACTCTCACCCCAATGCTCACACTACGTTCTGTTTAAAAATCAGTATCAAGAACGGCAGAGACCTATTCAATTCATATCAATAATAAGAAATACCATGGTTTTAAACAAGTATACTATAGTGGCTCTGTGAGAGGGTTGGTGTGTGGTTGCATCATTAACATGCTAGCATCACCGTGTAGCAACAGCTTCAAATGTAACTCAGAGAATCAATATGTAGCACCAGACGTACCTATTTTGTCATTTAGTAATAGGGTTTGTGAATCACCAAAAATCAACATCACTATGACTAATGTTCTCCCTCCTCCCTGTGCAGTGGCAAATGAAAGAAAAACAACAACAACAAAAAATGTTTTGCCAGTGAGATGAAAGTAGAAGAAAGTATGTTAATGAAAGGGTGCAGAGATGCATACTGCTTGTAATAAATGGCTTCGTAGCTCTTAATGGCAGAGTTGAACTAAAAGCTTATGTAAACCTGTCTTCTGAGGACATAAGCAGAGACAGATAGCTCTTTAAAAGACACTTCTTTGTTGAAAAGATAAGGATGAAACAGAAAAAAATGCATTAGCTCTCATCTTTGTGTACTTGAGATTCTGCTTGCAGAATTTATTAGGCACCTTTGATGGCCCAAGGTGCCTTTTAGACTCAACACACATCCCACAATCCTTGTTATTTAATGACAAGGTCAAGTGCAAAACTGGTGATGAGGTAATATATTCATTTTTTCTCTTGAGGTCATTGTTTAGTAAAACTAACTACATTAATCTTTTAAACAATCCTTAAAATGCTTCATCGAGTCCTCACTAACACTAAGAAAGTGGATCGCATCACTCCAGTTCTGAAGTCTTTACACTGGCTTCCTGTGTGTCAAATAATTGATTTCATACTGCTGCTGGTTTATAAAGCATTGAATGGTCTAGTGCCAAAATACATTTTCTGTTCTCCTGCTAAATTATGAACTCTCAGGTATTCAGGGACTGGTCTACTTTCTGAGTCAGAACTAAAACTGGAGAAGCATCTTTCAGTTATTATGCTCCAAATATCTGGAACAAACTCCCAGAAACCTGCAGGTCTGCTGCAACTCTTAATACTTTTAAATCCAGGCTGAAGACTTTTCTTTTTGCCGCTGATTTTAATTGAACTATTCGGTACCACTTTACAATAAGACTACCCTTATAAAGGGTTTACTAATAGTTTGTAATTCATTTATTAATCAGTTTGTGAACACTTTATAAATCGTTAATAAGCTTTTATAAGACATGAGATAAACAGGGTGACTGTGACCGGTTGCTTGCCAAATAGTGAGCCCACATTTATCTGTACTGCTAAGTCTTATATTGGCTACCTAGATTACTTCGTCTTCTTCATCAGCCAGCATCCTTGGTATCTGTTGTTCACTGAGTTGAACTATTTCCTAGTATTTTCCCCAATTATTAATCCAATACTTAATCCAGCGATTTGCTTAAATAAATTAGTAATTCTTGGTAAATATTTGGTCAAAGATTGTATCAAAGGTATGTTAGTTTGTGTCCGGAGTGATAACCGGTGCTCTGATTCGGAATATAACCGGAT